CTACCATTTACCTGCAGGACTGGACTGTCAATCTATAGTACAGACAGAGAAAGCACCAGTTGTCGCAACAGTCCGCCAGGACTGACTCACAAAAGTAGCACAAAGAATGAACCAAGAAGACTCCATAGTGATGGTAACTTGCAACATCTGTGCAATGCTTGTTACCTGAGAGCAGCATGACCTACATGTGCAACAAGTGCAAATTAGTAGCCTTGCTAGAAGAAAAGGTGAGAGCACTAGAACAGACAATGACCACCCTCAAAGTAATAAAAGATGAAGAGTTTTTAAACAGAGTGGTGGAACTGTAATAGATGAGAGTACAACAGAAGCTAGAAGTGCATCAACAAACTGAGGGAGAAGAAGAAATCTCTGAGGGAAGGGAAAATGGGGAAACTCCCAGGAAAAGGGTGACAGATGCAGAAGAACTAGAAGATGATCTGCACCAGTGGTAAAGGTGCAATTCTCAAACTACTTCAAAGTTATTTGAGGAAGAGCTTAGTGAGACACCTGCTTAGTGAAACCTGCTATACAAAACACTGAGCGACTCGGAAAAAGAGACAAAAAGTCAATCAAGTAAGGAAAAGGATACCAAAGCTTGCCACAACAAAAGGAGAAGATTGACAGTTGCTGGAGATTCCCTGTTGTGCAAGATGGAAAAAACGCATGTATTGGGAAGATCCCTGGAATTATCAAGTGTGCTGTCTCCCTGGAACAAAGATCAATGATATAGTTAACAGACCACCAATGCTCATACAACCTACTGATACACAACCCACTGACACACATCCCCTTCTTCTCGTTCATGTGTGAACCAATGACACTGTCAACAGAAGCTCTGAGGAAATTACATCAGACTTTGAAACATTAGGGAGAATAATTAAGAACACTGGGCCCCAGATAGTTTTCTCCTCAATCCTTCCAGTTTGTGGAAGAGAAAAAGACAGGATGAAAAAGATACTCCATGTGAATTCCTGGCTACAGTGGTTGTGCAGTTATGAGAGATTTAGATTCTGGAACCACAGGCTAAGCTTCCGGGCAAGCAATGGACTGCACCTTACAAAGAAAGGAAAGGATGTACTTGGCCACCGTATAAAGACGTATATAAGGAGGGCTTTAAACTGAATTCTATAGGGAAGGGAGATGTACATCTGGGAGCAACATCAACTGACACAGGATTATGTATTGCAACAGTGAAAGAAACTCTAGCTGGGCCTAACACTAGTCTCCCAGAAAATGTAGGAACCAAGCCAGGAAATACTGTAATTAATGTGGCCTTAGATGTCTATACACCAATGTCCAAACTATGGGAAACAACAACATGAGTTTGAACTCTTTGTACAAAAGGGCAAATATGATCTGATAGGCATAATTGAAACTTGTTGGGATGACTCTCATGAATGGAATTCAAAAATTGCAGGATATAACCTGTTCAAAATCAACAGAAGTAACAGAGAAGGAGGCAGAGTTGCACTTTATATTAAAGATACATATCTCTGCAGAGAAATACAGGAAGAAGAGAGCAGTAATCCCATCAAGTGTTCTGGATTAAAATAGATCGAAGCAGGAATAAAAGGAGCAAAGTAGTCAGAGTCTATTATCATCCACCCGGCCAAGGGTGAAACTTTTGAAAAACAAATGGCCAGTATTTCACAGAGGCATGACGGGGGACTTTAAATTCCCTGATAGCCATTGAGAGTCAAACTCTGCCAAACATAGCCCCTCTAAAGGATGTATGTATGTATTTATTTAAAACTTTTCTATCCCAGCCTATACATATAAGTCTCAGGACAGTCCAACAACAAAAGCATAGCATCACATCCATAATTTAAAAAAATAGATAATAAAATAATCTAGACTCAGATGATGATAAAGACCATGGGTCCTCAAACTACGGCCCATGAGATGGATCCGGCACGCCATGCCCATTCATTCAGCCTGCGCCACCACCCGCCGCCCATGCACGTGCTCGCAGCGCAGGCTGGCGGCGGTGGCTTGCTTGCTTGGAGAAGGTTTTGGACTCATTGGGAGATCTCCCTAGCGAGTTCAAAACCATCTCTGAGTGAGCAAGCTGCCGCTGCCTACCTCCCCTGCACATGCGTGGTCGCCGCTGCCTTGCAGCGCGGGCTGGAGGTGGTGGCTTGCTCGCTCAGAGATGGTTTTGAGCTTGCTGGGAGATCTCCGAGCTAGTGAGCCACTGGCGCGCATGCCCAATGCCACCTCGTGCACACCTGATGATGGCTCATCAGCCCACGCGCCCAGCCTCTCCCCCTTACCGGCCCGCATGTGTAGCCACTGCCTTTCAACTGGCCCCCTATTGAACAAGTTTGAGGACCCCTGATAAAGACGATGCACAGGATGCAGCTGATCCAGGGCTGTCAGTGTCAGCAGACCCAAACTTTAGCCCACCGTATGCTCCTCCTGAACCACATCTAATTTCACAGAGTGAACTGAATGACCATTCTTATTGCTATATCACATTTTGCAGAAAAGTTATGGAGGACAATTGCAAACCCCGCTCGTAATTTTGAATTATTTTGATGCAATTTTGATCTGAAGCTGTATCTTGGAAACTGGAGCCAATTAAAATTAAGACTCAATTTTCCTTTATTAGTGACTCAATTCTGGTAAAATTTAGCTACTTTCATTCACGGGGCTTTCTCCTTTTACACCAGTGTTATCTGGGGAAGTTGTGGGCTTTCCCTCACTAGATGTTTTCAGAGTGTTTGGACAGTAATCTAAATGGGATGGTGTAACTTAGTGTCCTCTTCTCTACTATTCTATGATCCTATGATATCACAGTATTAAAATGTGATATATCTATGATGTGACCACATTTGAAATGCTGTGTAGCATTTGAAATGCTGCATCTTAAAAAAAAGTGTGCGTGTGGAGGGTATTACAATGCTGGGAAAAGTACAGAAAAGAGCAATCTGCATGATCAGAAAGCTGGAACAACTCATCTACAAGGAGATATCACCATGTTTGGGTCTTTTTAATGTGCAAAAAGATGAGCAAGTGGGGACGTGGCACAGAGATATAACACTATGCATGGTGGGTAAAGATAATTTTTTCATCTCTCGAAAATTTTCATACTTAAGGTGTCAGCTTAAGGTGGGAGATTCAGGAGACAGAAAGGGGAGTATTGGTTCACTTAGGGCTACTGAAAGATGTGATATTCAGTAGAGCTTTTCATAAATTCTCATGCGTTCCCTGAAGGAAGAGCCTCTAAAAAGCTTAATACATACAAGCTGTGTAACATTGACTGGATGATTGTTTCTGACATTGATCCCGATGTTCCAAATGCTCAGTAACATGTATGCAAGCTGAACTGGTGGTTGGGAATGTACATTCTCATCTGGACCACAAGGGGGATAGGTATTGGTGTATGTTCTGAATTCTAGGGATACTACTGAAGTTTTATTTATTTATTTATTTATTTATTTATATCCTGCCTTTTTCCTACAAAGGGCTCAAGGCAGCTTACATCATCTCTCCTCCTCCATCTTATCCCCACAACAACCCTGTGAGGTAGGTTGGGCTGAGAGTCTGTGACTGGCCCAAAGTCACCCAGTTGGCTCCATGGCTGAGCAGGGACTAGAACCCAGATCGTCTGAGTCCCAGTCCCACGCTCTTAAGCACTACACCACACTGGCTCCATTTTGTCCATTAATAGGCTCGGATTCGCCATCGAAACAAAAAAAGCAGCAAATAAAGGAATTCTTACATTTATTCAAGTTTAATTTTGAGCAAAAAAAACCCCCCGATGGTGGTGATTTAGTTTTTACATATTTTAAAATTAGCCTGACAATGTCTATCTAGCCGTTTACCACACGACCAGTGCGGTTTACGATGTGTGTATAACGGGGAGCTGACGAAGAAGGTCGAAGAAGGTCGGAGACTAAACCAGCCATGCTTAAATTCCCTGTTTTCCGCCATTGCTTTTCATGGGTAGTTCACACGTCCTACCCCAAGATAGACTAAAGCTGGCATCCCAAGTGGACTCGGGAATTTCCGGGAGATGGGATTATTCTCAACGCGTCGAGCTCTATGCGCCCGCGACGCATTGCCAGTGCCCAAGATGGCTCCTCGGTCACTTTCGTCACCACAGCTGGGTGCAGAGGCAGAGATAGGATTACTAGAGTGACTCACTCCACTGATTAGGTTGAAAACGTCCTGGTTCCTTTATGACACAATCCTGTGCATGTTCAGGCATACCCAGCTGGGGAAATTTGAGAGTTGTAAGACTTTTTCTGGATCCTTAGAATGCTTCCCCCCCCCCCCACTTTCCCTTCGGGAAGCAGTAACAAGTGAAGAAACAAACAAACAAACTAGCATGGCTGTAATTGGGCAGTAACGTGTCCTCCCAAAAGTAAAAAAAAGACGCAAAAAGAAGTGTCCTGGTTATTTAATCACGGTCTTATTTTTGAGAATATGCGTGTGAAATCGTTTTAAAATTAAACTAAATTTTCCGGCAAAATTCAGTTCTTCACAAGATTGCAACGTAGAAATAGGCTCACAGGCCAGTCTGAATTTATCGAGAGACAGAAAAAAGACCCCTCCTCTATTCCAGCGCTTTGTTGCACGCAAATGTCTAGTGCTGCGTTAAGTGTTTTTAGCCCCGTTGCACTTTTACAAGCTTTAAAAAGCTAAACGAAACACATCTTTATACAGAACAAGACCAGAGTCACAGGAAGGTATTCTCCAGCTGCTTCCTTAAGCTGCTGCGTGGCCACGTTGCAGCCAAAAACCCCTATATTACAATTTCAGATTTCCTATTAGGCAACTGTTTCTAACGCCCGTGGAGAGGGAAAAAAAAAAGGTCTATGTACAACCCGGAAGTCGGCTGCCTTTGCGAATCTATTGATTAATTCTGCATGGAAAGGCAGACAAACTTCCAAAAACCAAGATGGAGTCCGGCACTGATCGTGACTGGGCAAGATGGCTGGTGGCAGTGCGAAAAGCGTGCCAGTACCCAAGATGGCGCGCACCAGCTCTCCTACAGACATGATCGGCATCATTTCCGTGCCAGCCCCGAACAAAGGTGGCGGTCGGAAGCGCGCCCGGTTACCAATTTCCTTTCCCGTCTCTTTTCCTTCCATCTCCCCGATACGCTAGTCTGAGACTCGAGATGATGGCGACGGCGGCAGCTGAAGTGGAGTACGAGTCAGTGCTGTGTGTGAAACCTGATGTTAGCGTCTTCCGGATCCCCCCGAGGGCCTCGAATCGGGGATACAGGTAGTAGATGAGGGATAGGGATGTTGCCTGGTTACTGCACGCCCCGCCGTTTAGGAACGTTTTTTAACCTCTGTTTCTTACGCACATGCACGTGATACACGTTCTCCTCGCATCTTGTAGAAACAATACGATACAATACAATAGTGCCATGAGATAGAGGCCTACCTTACAGAGCTGTTGGAAGAATTACGTGACTTGGCAATCTGCATAATCTTTATTATCAAACAGTAAGGTTGTAACAACATAGTCAACATAATACACTGTGCTTTATAGCGTTTATAAGAGGAATAAAGAGACACATGTGCCCATGGGTTTATCAACTATTTTGACAGTGGAGGAGATTGCAAAGGTAGGGACAGAAAAGATGAGACAAAAGTAATGAAGGATAGAGATGTGACAGTTGGGAGAAAAAAAATATCCTCTGCCCTTCATATCATTAGTATGAACTGAATGTGACCAAATCCAGTGAGCCACTGAGAACACTCAGAAAAGCACTTACTGCTGTTGATTTCTAAAGTCTTTAAAATCTACTGTATTAAAGCAGTTTTCCATCCATGCAGCCTTCTGTATCTGCAAGGAGAGAGTAGGGTTCTGTTGTGATTGCTTCCAAATACTCCTAAGGCTCCCAAGTCCATTTCCTATAGGTAGGAAGGGGCTATCCATAACTAACCATTCTAGTTATGGATAATTGTTCCCCAATCTTGTCAAATGAGGCCGGCTGTACAACCTGCTTCAGACCCTTCCCTGAAGGCTTCATGGAGCTCAGAATAGGATTTATGTTTCCATTTCCTCACCACAGTCTTATGAAGTCCTTAGTTTGAGAGAGTGATCTGTGGGTTAAGTAGGAGATTTTATTCTGCTCTTCCCAGTCCTAGCCCAGCAGAGTTGTAATACCGTGTGTGAATGCTATCTTCCTCATTAATAATCTTTCAGTTCCCATTGTTTTAATCCCCCATGTTCAGGCATCAACTTGGAGCAGTCCCTCTTGTCACCAGTCTTTTACTGGCCAGTATCATACAGCTCAGAGGATTATGGGCATCCTATTGCAGATGGAAGGGGAACAGAGGTGACAGTCTCCTCCCCACTTCTTCTGCCTCATGAAACATTTAGATCTCTGATTTGGGCCTTTTAGGCATTTGCATTAGCTTCTCAGGAGGATGGATTGAGGGTTGGCCAGGATATACTGTGGGCCAGTGGAACCTCACTCCCCCTTCCCCATTCTCCTGGAAACTTCACTCAGCACTGACCCTAAGGTTGATCTTCCCATCTTGGAGCCACAGCTGGTATGAAAAGAATCATGCTGACTGCAAGGGAGTGGGGAAGGCGCATCAAGTTTGTGCTTGAGTGGTCACCCTGGAACACATTTCTGAAATCAGCTGGTCTGATCTTTTCTATGGCTGTCTAGACAGTGTCTAGTGTAGGATTGCTCCTTTAGTGTTGTTGGAGGAAAGCAAATGCCAAGGAACTTGACAGGACAAAGGATGCTTAAAAGAGGACTATCACAAATCAGATGCTTTCTGCTTTTTGATAGCTTCTCTCCTTTGTTCAAGGTAGCTGCACAGATGGATTCACTCTCTTTTGCTGATGTTAGATTCTTGAGCAGGATTTCCTCCCCTCTCCAAGCTTCTCTGTTTCCTTGCTGTGTATGTGTGAATGCATGCATAAACTGAGCTATCCTGCTACAGTGACAAATTCACTCTTCCACCTTTTATCCTGTTGCTAATGGTCACGGAAGAAGCTGGATTATTTTCAAGTGTATTCATCAGCGCTGACTCTCTTGGTCTGGTAAACACAGATGACCAGACAGTAGATACTCCAACACAGTAATGCTTGTTTCTACTGGCCCTTCCAGCATATGCACTTTGTGAGTTTGACATAGTTTTCCTTTGCTTGTTGAGGGAGTGGAGTGATCGCAATGATATCTTGCAGCATACTTTCCATTAGAAGACTCTGTTTCTTCCTGAGTTCAAGGCTGAAATATTCTGGTGTCCCCTTTGCACAATTAAAAGCCATTATTGCCAACACTTCTGGAGAAGGCATGGGAGAGTCCCACTGTAAAACAATGCAAGATGGAGACAAATTGGAAAATAAAGCACCTTATTTGTCTGTCTCTCAGAATTCTGTGAGATATTTATAAAGTTGGGTTTTAAAATTAAAAACAAGTAATCCACTCAAGATAATATTAGACAAGCAGTTTCAAAAATTTGAGGAATACAGATTGTCTTGTATAATAAAGATAATCTTTATTTGGTCTAAATAGGAATCTGTGCAACATATTGCTTTCCAATATGGTGGCCACATCATTACAATGCAGCCTCTGATTCTCTTTGCTACATGATTGCCTCAGATTGATGTGTCTTCTACATCAGGTTAAATAAATTGATGAATGGTTGAAAAGATATACATGCTAAAATATTGAAGAATGGAGAAGATTCTCCAAATGCACATTTATCTCCTATTTACTGCAATATATGAAGATCAGAATAAAAGTTCCAAATCAGAAATTAGGAATCCTTCAGAGGCTGATTAAAATCAGTAATAACTTTTACTTTTATTTTTTCTAGTTATACTATTACTTTATGAATATATTACTTATTGAGATGCATCATGATATAAAGACCCAAGATAGCTCATTTCCTATGCTGCTTTTAGCCCTGCTCTTACGCATATTCTTCAGAAGCAAGTCCAACTATATATAGTATGGCCTACTCCCAATTATTTATTCATTTGATTCATGTACTGTTGAGAATGCTTAAAATTACAGCTTTACTGGGTTTCATTCGCTCCAATGACAAACCATCATTTTCATTATGAGAATGTGAAGGCATGAGCCTGGGGAAGGTGGATTCCATCCTCACCTAGAGATTAGAATTTTAAGTTTGTGCTTCTCCAAAAACCAGAGGTGGCTGTTTCATATGAACACATCACACCATAGTTTGCTTTTACAACAGGGTTACAAGTTGTATTCTGTGTATGGTAATAGTATGCCAAGAACTAAACATACTGGCATGGAATTATATTCTGGGCCTTTTCCTTAAAAATAAGGCATGATGGAGAACCTACATTCTATTTCAGCCCAGGTACTAAAAACTTCCTTTTGTTTACTACAATGTTGATGACAGTGTTGATTTTCAAATTTCATTTCTCCCATTTTCTTAACGGGCTAAGGCAGGGGTCTCAACTTACCTGGGGGCCGCTGGAAGTAGAGTCTGGGTGAGGCTGGGCCGCATCAAGTATTCCACCACCGCGGGGGTGGTGGGCCGCTCAACCCGTGGCCGGCCCGGGTGCCGCCGGCGCTTTGAAGGCCACATGGCCCCTCCCTCGTGCCCCGCCCACCCCAGCAATTGGCCCGCGGGCCGCGAGTTTGAGACCCCTGGGCTAAGGGAATGATCAAATACCTCTAGATCAGTGGTTTTCATTTCTCTGTGGAGGGGGGCACATCCTGCTTGCCATGGACTGGCATGGGGGCTGGCTGTGCTCTACCACTTCTTCCTTGATCTGACATTGCGTTTGTGGGGGGTGCACCGGTGCTGCTGGTGGGGCCAGAAAGGGGAGAGGTCACTTTTTGTTTCTGCCTCAGCGGTCCCCTCAAGGTGGTTTTCCTGTTTCTGCCGGTCCCCAGCTGTGGAAAGGTTGAAATCACTGCTCTACACAGTGTTTGAGCAGCCATAAGATAGTTGAGATACCTGGGGCATGCAATTGGAGCTCCACTGCTCCTCCCATACCCCTTCATGGCTATCATGGCAAGAACCACACTGGTTGTTCTCTGATTTCAAAAAAGTGGTTTCATAGGTATTGGTTCAAGGGAAGGGAGGACATTGGAGCAGCCAAGATGCTAACATCATTTCTCCCTCCTGCATACTGAACCATCCCAACAAGACAGGTGAAAAAGCCTCTCTAGGAAAATTCAGCTACAGAGGGGTGGCAATTGCTTCTGCTTCTCTTCCCACTCTGCACTGGGTGCCTGTAAGTCATTTATTTCAGGGGCATACAGGCATCGCAATAGGACCGAGAGCACACTCGAAAGTCCCAGCTCTAATGCAAGGGAAGCTTGTAATTATTGTTTTGGGCAAAATCCTCCTGGGGTGATACTCTTAAATATACCAAATGATACATTTTTAATTGCTGTGTTTATGTAGGGTCCATTTTCATGATAACTAAGTTGACACTTGACATGAAGATAAGTTTTACACTTATTTGTGGAAGATGCAGACAAGCAGAAGAAAAATGTCCCACCCTCCAGTACTTGGACATTTTATATCACTGAACACCATTGTTAATGAGCCTCACTAGATTATTGATCCTTCTTACTGTCATTTATCACTGAACAAATTTCACAACCAGCTTAGGCAATCCCACAGAGGATCCAGATAAATACTCCTTCCTAGACAAGAATTCATGCAGTTTTCAAAACTATTGTTTCCTCAAGAAAATCTTAGTTGGGCTTAACAGCTTACTGCTTCTAAGTAACCAAGGGCCATCTCAGCAGTTTATCATTCTCAATGCGGATGCAGTCTGGCTGTCTGGATGCATTCATGGGGTGAGTCCAAGTACTCAGCTGTGAATACTAGTACAATATTCTGGAATTTGTTTGAAATAATACATTCATAGAAATCATTCTGGGAAGGCCCCCATTGTATTTCTGTGGAGGAAGTGTGCCACACTTTGGATTCCCTTGCAAATATATGTTTGCTCAATGTTGAGCTCACCAAATGGAAAATAATATCAATTCTTAAAACTTACAATCCACTATCTTAAAAAAGCGAGTTACAATCAAATTCCAATTAAACATACCAATAAAAATGATACCGTTGTAACTCTATAACTAATCGAATCCTCAGGCAAGAGCAGCAGCAACTTCTATAATAAGAACACCCTAAAATGTTGGCTCAGCCTGCTCTAACCCTTTGGTGTCTGCACCATAAAGCCTCTGTTGTGGGCAATCAGTAGACCCATTCTCTGTAGAGATGGATTGAATTGTATGGCCTTGGCAGGTGTAGGACCCCACTCAAATATTTCAACTCAAAAGCTTCTGGCTATAAGTATAAATAACATGTTTAGATTGGTTATTTACTGAATGCAAATAATGAAAACTTTCTAAATTAGGTCTCTCTAAGTCATTTAAACATTATTCAAAGTAAATTGATCTTTTTCCTATGCAAATTATCCAAAACAAACAGAAAATTTTCCAATGCAAATGGACCTACTTTGCATTGCAAACATTTCCTAGATTTCAGTTCAAATTTCTTCCTTGAAAACCAACATCACTGAACAGACTTATTTTTAAAACTTTTGTGCCACATGCTGGTTTTTAAGTGCTACAGAAAGACTAAATATTGCATTAACAGCAATGATGCCATTTGCTTTGAAATGAGAGTAACTGGGGCCAGTATATAATAACCAAAACATGAAACATGGTGGGATAATTCTCACAGTTGGAATTCAAAAATAGATGGATACAACCTCTTCAAGAAAAATAGAAGGGATAAAAGGGGCAGGGAGTTGCACTATAGGTTAAGAATACAGTGGTACCTTGGCTCAAGAACTTGCTCCGTTCCATGACTCTGGTTGTGACCCAAATTGGTTGTGACCCAAGTCAAATTTCCCCATAAGATTCAATGTAAATAAGGTTAATCCGTTCTGTAACTATTTCTTTAATCAGAAAAATTTGAATCAAAGTGACAAAGAACAACAAAGTGACAAAGAACAACAGAGTACTGTACAGTACAGTGGAGAACACTAACCTAGGAGGGGGGAGGTTATTGTTTTGAGGGAGAGTCCCCCTCCATAAGGACACTGGGGAGATCTCTTTCAGGGGTTTCCTCTTTTCTTTGTCTCTTAGCTGCAGGGTCAATTTTGGTGAAAAATCTGTCTATAGTCACTTGTTTTTTCCTGCACTGCATAACCCTCCGGAAATGAGAGACCACATTATCGTTCATCAGATTCAACGCTCTGTTCATTACAGTTATATTGGGGTGGTGCTTCTCAAAGAAATCCTGGCACTCCTTCCATTTTTCCATAATGGATTGTATCACATCACTGCTAACCTCCTCCCTGTCTTCCTATTCCTCAGTGGAATCCTCCTCAGCAAGTGCCTTCTGCTGCTCATGCTGGAGTTCAGCAAGTTCTTCTGTCATCAGCTCCTCTATGTCTGCCCTGCATGAACGCAACTGCGATCGTGGCCATCTCTCTACTCGGGGTGGTGGGGGGAGATGGCTGTGATCTTGGTTGCCACCCAATGCGGAGTTTGCGACCCAAGTCAAAATTTTCGTGCAATTTTTGTTTGTGACCCAATTTGGTTATGAACCAAGGCATTTGTGAGCTGAGGCACCACTGCACTTATATCTATGGTGCATTACAGGAGGAGGAGCCAAAAAGCCACATTGAGTGCATCTGGGTCAACTTAAGAGAAGCAAAAAACAATAGCAACTTAGCCATCGGCATCTACTACTGCCCACCAAATTAAAGAAAAGAGGAAGACATTATCTTTGAAAAACAATTAGCCAATGTGGCAACAAGACATCATGGGCAATCTCAGCCTCCCTGAGATTTGCTGGGAGACACCTTCAGCCAGACATGCCTCCTGAAGAGGTTCCTCACATGTGCAGCAGAAAGTGGAGGAAATGGATGAGGGGAACAGGTGCATTAGACTTAATACTGACTAACAAAGATGATCTGGTAGATCGAGTATCAACCATGGGTTTTCTGGGTGAAAGTAACCACACCATTCTTGAATTCTCTATTAAAGGGATGACAAATGTCTGCTGCAGCCAACTTCAGAAGGGCCAATTTTAAGACATTCAAGTCAACAATATGAAAAAATCACTTGGCAACTCACTCTAAAGGAGAGGGGAGTCAAGGAAGGATGGGATATCTTGAAAAAAAATTCCTAAAGCACAGTAACAACTCATCCCAACAAAAAAAAAAAAAAAAAAAAAAAAAAAGCATAGAAGATTTCAAAGGAAATCCTCATGGCTCTCTAAAATGTTAGGAGACAACTTTAAAGCTAAGGTGATAATGTAGAGGAAGTGGAAAGGAGGTCAAGCCTCAAAAGAGGAACATAAACAGATAGCAAAAACTTTCATGGACAGAGTCAGTAAGGCTAAAGCAAGTTCCAAACTGAGACTAGCAAGGCATGCTAAAAATAATAAAGCCTTCTACAGCTATGTACAGAATAAAAGACAAAAGAGAGAGGCATGCAGCAGCTCAACAAGGATGTCAAAAAGATAACGGGTGACAAAGCAAAAGCAGAGGTGCTCATCTCCTACTTCAGCTCAGTCTTCTCCTGCAAAATAAAATGTAATCTGCTTAAAGAGGAGGCAATGCAAAATGAAAGGGAAGGATGGCAACCTAAGATCAACAGACAAATAGTCAAGGAGCTGCTTGAAGAGCTGGATATATTCAAATTTCCAGGATCTGAAAGTCTTCATTCTAGAGTATTAAAGGAATTGGCACAAGAGCTTTCTGAGCCACTATATATCATATTTGAGAAACCTTGAAGAATGGGAAGGTGCCAGATGACTGGAGGAGTATAGATGTGGTGCCCATCTACAAGAAAGGGAAGAAATATGAACTGTGGAACTGTAGACCAGTTAGTCTAACTTCAGTCCTGGGAAGTTACTGGAGCAAATTATAAAAAATCAGTCTGTATTCACCTTGAATAAAATGTAGTGATAAGCAGTAGCCAATGCAGATTTCCTAAGAAAAAGTTATGCCAAACCAACCTAACCTCATTCTTCCACTGGGTAACCACCAAATTGGACACGGGAAATGCAGTGAATGTTTTCTACATAGACCATAGCAAAGTCTTTGACAAAGTTCCACATGACATCCTAATAAATAAATTAGCAAAATGTGGACTTGATAGTACTACTACTAGGTGGAACCAGAACTGGCTTCAAGACAGGTCACAGAGAGTGTTAATCAACAATAGTTTCTCAACCTGGGGAGAGGTCACTAGTGGGGTACCACAGGGCTCAGTCCTGGAACCAGAGTTCTTCAACATCTGTATTAATGATCTTGATGAAGAAATCCAGAAAAAGATAATGAAGTTTTTGGACAATACTAAACGGGGTGGAATATCTAACAGCCTGGAAGACACAAGACCTAGGGAGACCTAGACAAGCTTGAAAGCTGGGCAGAAAACAATAGAATAGACATTCAACAGGGACAGATGCCAAGTTCTCCACCTAGGCGAGATATATCAGCTTCATTGATAGAAGATGGGAGATACTTGGCTCAACAGCACTGAGAGTGAAAGGGACCTTTTAGTCGTAGTAGACAGTAGGCTAAATATGAGCCAGTAGTGTGAAGCAGCTGCAAAAAAGTTAAACACTATTTTGGGATGTATAAATAGAGATATCACTACTAGAAATAGAGAAGGTACTCATTCCCCTCTGCTCTGCCTTAATCTGACCTACCTGTACCCAGATCCAAAAAGGATGCAGATAATCTGGAGAAGGTTCAGAGGAGGGCAGCAGAGATGATACAGGGCCTGGAAAATATGTCTTATGATGAGAGGCTGAAAGAACTGGGCCTGTTCAGCCTTGAGAAAAGAAGACTACAAGGTGACATGATAGCACTCTACAGCAACCTCAAAGGCTGTCACAAAGAAGAAAGAAAAGAGGTATTCTCACTCATCCCAGATTGCAGGACACTAGACAATGAACTTAAACTGCAGTACACCAGGTGCAGGCTAAACACAAGGAAGAATTTCCTGCCTGTGAGAGCTGTATGACAGTGGAACCAGCTGCCAAGAGAGGTTGTGTGCTCTTCTCCACTAGAAACATTTAAAAAGTAATTGGTTATCTGACTGGGATGGTGTAACTGGCATCCTGCAGTAGCACGGAGTTGGACTCAATGGCCTTCTTGGACCTTCTGACTCAACCATTGTAGGAATGAATTCTATGAAAAAGGTCCCTTTCCTCTTGCTTCTGAAGCTTGCTCTACAGCAGGAAGGCAACCACAGTGGTACCTTGGCTCACGAACTTAATCCGTTCCGTGACTCTGGTCGTGACCCAAATTGGTCGTGACCCAAGTCAAATTTCCCCATAAGATTCAATGTAAATAAGGTTAATCTGTTCTGTAATCATTTTTTAATCACAAAAATTTGAAACAAAGTGACAACAACAAAGATCACGGCCATCTCCCCCCTCCCTCCCCCCCACAAGCACGACCGTGGCCATCTCCCCCCTTGAGCACGACCGCGATCATGCCCTTGCAGGGAAGACGGGCACGATCACGATCGCCACTCGATGCAGAATTCATGACCTGAGGCACAATTTTTCTGAAATTTCTGTTCGCAACCTGATCTGGTTGTGAACTGAGGCCTTCATGAGCGGAGGTACCACTGTAGATGAGTGTATTAGTGAAGAAACAGGCTGAGATGCTCAACAGCTGCATTCTGCCCTGATATCTAGGAAAACCTAAAGCTAAAGAAACCATCTCTGGGTGAACATGTGGGGCTATTGCCTCAGGTAGGTCTGCTGTCCTCTTATCAATTAATATTCCCATATTTGTTTACTGTGCAGGGCCTCTGACTGGAAACTGGACCAGCCAGACTGGACAGGACGCCTCCGCATTACCTCTAAAGGCAAAATTGCTTACATAAAACTTGAGGATAAAGTTTCAGGTGCGGAAATTATTGGGTTTTGTTGGGTATTATTTGGTCCTGAAGACATTGTTTTCTTGATAATGAAAGCTCTATGGGTTGTAATCAAGTAATTTTGAACTACTGCAGTGCTGTTGGAGGTACTTTGCTTTATTGCCATTCCTGCATCATAATCTTCTTTTCCTTCAGTGGCGTGAGTGAGGCTGCTGTGCACATTTTTTCTGGGGTAATTAACCTACTGGATGGTGGTTTAGATTAGCACTGTTGTGAATTATTGGGTGAACACAGATCTAGGTTAACAGAACATTTCAAACAACTTTTGTGGTAACCTATGTCACCCCATTTCTTTTTTTCTTTCTTTTTTACCCCTTTTTCTTCTTTAATACAGAAAAAAACACAGATGCAAACATCACAGTATGAAAAATATGACATACAAAAGCTCAACTAATAATTGAAAAAGTAAATAATACAGTACCCTACCACCCCAGAGACCAATAATACCTCCACTTTCATTCATATATCATAACAATTAATAATATATAATATACTTCAATTAAAGCGCTCCTTCAGGTAACCAGGACCCAAGCCGTTTAGGGCTTTATAGGTCATCACCAACACCTTGAATTGGGCCCGGACTTCAATGGGAAGCCAGTGAAGCTGACGGAGAACTGGAGTCATGTGGACATAATGCCCAGTCCTCGTCAGCAGCCTGGCAGCTCTATTTGAACCAATTGAAGTTTCCGGACCGTCTTCAAGGGTAGCCCCACGTAGAGTGCATTACAGAAGTCAAGACGGGAAGTCACCAATCCCTTTCCCACATCTCCAACATATATTAGAGTATTTACCATCAATCATCACCCCATTTCTTGGAAATGTTACAGTTCTGATTTACAAGCAAAAATCTGTGCTTGAAGTGTTATGGTAAGCCTGATTTCAGGTGGTTTAAAAGGTATATAATGCAGTCTACACACTAATCTTCTTGCTATGTTACATGATGACAGTTACCCACAGTTATACTCATTTGTATTTGGGATCAAAATATACTAACTGAACAAATGGTGAGGCTCCTGCTAGCATGTTACTGGCTTTTAAACTGACTGAAATACACACACACTGGGTAAATTTATTTATTTTAAGTATCTAATCTTGTGAATTAAGGGTTAGCAATAAAAGCTGGTGTAACTGTGATGTTGATTAGATGTGGATGATTCATACCCAAAATGACTGTTTTGATGTCTCCAGAAACTGAGCCAATGACAAGCCACCAATTAACTGAAACTTACCTCTCCAAGTTTCTTTGTTTTGCAGAATGCTACATGTAAATTAGCATGTGGCCCTTCCAACTCTATTATTCTATAATGTTGAATAAGTTGGTTGTTTCTGTATTTGAGGAAAGCAAGAGTATCCAGTATCTCTCTAGGGAGAAATTGGTTTTGGTCTTGAACATGGTGCTTCTCTTATGTACTCTTAGGTGAACTTTTTGCCCAAGCTCCGATAGAACAATACCCTGGGATTGCTGTGGAGACTGTGACTGATTCCAGCCGGTACTTTGTCATCCGGATTCAAGATGGGAACGGTGAGAAGGGATTTATTCTCCTTCAGCTTAATTAGAATGAATGGAATGGTCATAAGGAGTCTCTTATCCAGCCACCTTCTGAGTGATATGGTTGAGTGGTGAGGAGTGTTTTTGGTGTGTGATTGTAAAAGATGGTCCTATGTCACATTAAGTGGGTCACAGTAACCTTGGCACATACCTAGATAACTATCTGCAGCCCTCTCCTGTGTGCCTAACATCAAGCAGTAGTACTGAATATTGTAAGCTGTCCCAAGACAGTCTGTAGGGGACGGGATGGAAAGGCTTTTCATAAATAATTAATACATAAAATAAACCCTGGTAAAGCAAAAGTGCCATATAAAGAATGTAAGAGATTAAAAGAAAGGGCCATTGAAAATGGAAGATTGAGCCAGAATGAACTTTACATCAGGCATATATAAATGTTCAACATTTCTCTCTCTCTCTCTCTTTAGGCTTAAGGCAGAGACTAATTAAGGGTGTGGTCCCTCTGCAATGTCCATAAGCCCCTAAATATGGAGGCTTATAGTCATCCAGTAGACTGGGAGGAACAGCAGAGGTGCTGTTAGGTTCCCTGTCCTCCTGACCTACACTTTCCAGTAGACAGACCTTTGTTGCCCATGTAGCTGATACATTTTGGAGGGAGCGGAAGGAGACTGGGGTGGCTGCAAGATACCTTGTATTCTTCCCAATCTCCTCTGCCTCCCATCCCCACCAAAGGCTCCCTTTTACCCTTCTCTGAGTTTTCTTTCCTGATTTCAGAGAGCAGCTGGCCCAGTTCTTTCCGTGCCAGCTGCAAGGGGTTGGTGCTCCCATTCCCAGAATTGGGAGTAGGGAGATGTTTTGGAGCACAGCTCACATCAGTCCCAGCTAACATGATCATTAGCAAGGGATTACAGGAGTTGAAATACCAAGTTGCCTACCCCTGAATTTAGAATAAGGTCCCTTTAAATTAAAGTCTGTATTCCATTGTTTAAAGTAGGACAGGTGCCACATCCCATAACTTCAATAAACTAATTTTGCCTCAGAGCAGCCATCAATATTAATCTAGTGCTGCAGAGCTAAGTACTCATCTCCTGTACAAGAAGGTTAGTACTCACCTTTTGAATTCATAAACATTTGGATAAACAGGAAAACAATGTAAATCAAGGCAAGAGAAAAGGGCACCTGTTGAATGGATATATGTTAACAAAAGAAAGTCTATAGCTTCACAGACAGATTCAAATTCTGCCATGGGACTGCCATGCCACTTATACCCAACTCCCCAAGATAGTCTGGGGATGCTAAATTGTTGGGAGCTTTGTTACCACTAGTTATGCCACTGACGTGTTGCTCTATCTTCCCTGTCAGGGCGAAGTGCCTTCATTGGTATCGGCTTTGGAGACAGGGGGGATGCCTTTGACTTCAATGTTGCCCTGCAAGATCATTTCAAGTAAGTGCTCCTTTCTGCTCTGGCATTTGATCTTCTAAGGGTCACTTCTCTTCCATACGAGTCAGAGCCCTGGTTCATCTAGCCCAGGACAGGGCACACAGGGCTTGGGGGCCATATCTGATCCTCCTGAGGTCCCTAATCTGACCTCTGGGAGTCCTTTTCTCCTGGCCCTGCCCAACTTCCTCCCATCTCTGATGGCTGCTTTGTTTCCTGACGTTTGTGCGGTTTTTCTCTATCCTAAAAGGTTGAGGAGTTTCTCCTAAACCTTACTCACTGGCAGTAAGAACTTTAAGCTACAGTGTGCTGATATTGTTTATGCTTTGGCTCCAGCCCTCTTGCTTTTGGCCTTGGTTTCCTTGCCATTAGAATGTAGCCCTCAATAGCATCTCCAAAACTGAAGTTGGCCCTTGGGTTGAATGACCTTCCTCACCTGATCCCCTTTCTTGGTCCTGCTGCTAAAATCCTCGTGACCCTAATGCAGAATGTTCCAGATTCAAAGCATGTGCTTGGCCTCTTAATTGTTGCTCAGTAGCTGGGAACCATTCTCATTCAAACTTCTCAGCTGTTGATTCTAAAGGGAGACACTTTTAGTTGGCAAAGGGCTATCTGATGTAGAGAGGTAGGAACTGATGGGATGAGTCAAGCTTTTGAAGACAAGCAGAAGAAATTACTCTGTCTTCTGGTTACTTCTTCAATGTGTTTTATGTGGAACTGTCCTTTAAAATAGTAGTGCAGATTTCAACTGGCTGTCTCATAACAGAAATGGCTCTAGAAACATATTACCCATAATTATTGATGTGCTTTACTGGCTTTCAGAGTGCTTCTGGGCCCTATTTACAGTATGGATTGCATCTATAAAGTCCAAAATTATTTGTGCCTTGCGTGTTTCTAGGACATCTTCTCCCAATATGATCCTTGTGATCCCACCCACGTGATCTTTAGGAAGTGAGAACTTGTTTTCTCGTCTGAGGGCTTTCTGAGAACTGGCACTGCAATTATAAGTACCCTCCCCAGCTTTAGCTTGTTTTTTAAACTTTGTTTTTGAGTTTAGTGTCATGGATGAATTTCTACATCTGCAAGCATGTTTAAAATAGTTTAATGTGCAGTTTTAAAGCTGTATATACCACAAGGTACTTGCCAGAAAGGTGATTCACAGTGTAAACTAGTTAAAAATAGAGAAGGAGTATGTTCGTCTGCAGTAACAGCAGTGCTGCAAATGTTTCTGAGGTGAGGTGAGGAAGCCATCCCAAGATGTGGATATTAAGCACTCTGCTGCAGAAAGTTGCAAATATTGACTGAAATGCCCATTCATGTGATGATGAAGGCATTAGTGGAAACTGCTAGATCAGCTGTCGATGGCAGATTTGGCTTAGATTGAGAAAATATATAATGCAGGGGATGGCAATCTGAACTTCTTGCCTAATTTTAAGAAAAGCCCGCATGCAGTCAGTTCAGACTTCTGTCAAAAGTGAGCTCTCTGGTGGCCTGGATGAGAAGAGGAGAGAGAAAAGGGATGGCACCCCCTCATTTCAGCGTTGGTTCCACCTAATGCTTGCTCTGGTCTCCCAGTAGGTTATATACAAGGAATAGAGAACTCTTTCCTTCCCAGCAACCTGAGCCACCCTCTGTTTCATACACACACAGCTTCATCCCCACAGCATTGCTGCTCTTTCCCTCACTTTCCCTCTTTTATCGCTTTCCTTCCTCACTTCCCTCCCTGGTGCAGCAGCAATGCTTTTAGAACTAATTGCCTTCTTGGGTAGAGGGGGTTTTTGGTCAGAGAGTCACAGCATGTGACAAGTTTTAAGACTGCCTTCCTCAGCTGTGATACCCACACACCTTGAAATTGCCCCCCATACCACAGTTGGACTTTTACGCAGCTTCCAGTGGTGCCTCTTTTCAAAGGATAGGTGGCTGCTGGTTCTCCATCTATGGGTTAGACCAATCTTCCCCAACCTAGAATTCTGTTTTGGTCTTCAACTCCCAGCATCCCTGACCATTAGTCATGCTGGCTGGGGCTTATGGGAGTTGAAGCTCAAAACAGCTGGAGGACACTAGATTGGGGGAGGTTAGAGTCTGAGTGTTAGACTTCAACCAGGGTGATCTGGGTTTAAATACCTGCATTGTTAGGAAGATCACTGGATGGTCTTAGCCCAAGCATTCACGTGACTGTAAGGACAGAACAAGGTAAGACTGAGCAAGCCACTCCTCAATCCTTTGAAGGAAGGGTACGATACAGAGTAAGAATTGTGTACATGCCTTATACAACCCCTTGTGGGTAGGATACTCATGGAGAGAAGCCAAAGTACATGCTGTAGAATACTTGTTTGAGTTCTCTTTGCATCTTCTTTGTCTTTGCAATCAGTCTTTCTGCTTCCTGTATGTTTTATTTCTTTCTTCACTCTACAATATAGGTGGGTGAAACAAGAGACAGAAATTTCCAAGGAGTCCCAGGAAACAGATAGCCGTCCCAAGCTTGACCTAGGGTTCAAGGAAGGGCAGACCATTAAATTGAACATTGGGGTGAGAACCTTATGGATCTTGACTGTTTCCTAGCCTGTTCAGGGGTTTCTCTGGTAAACTTCTGTTACTTTGAGATATTTCCCTTGATACTGTGTGTCTCTTTTCAGAACATGCCAACAAAGAAAAGTGGGTCAACCAAACCACGTCCAGCTGGATCAGGGGGACTAAGCCTACTCCCACCACCACCTGGGGGCAAAATTGCCCTCCCTCCTATCCCCCCTCCTTCCTCGGCTGCCATTTCTAATCATGTTACCCCACCACCGGTGCTGAAATCCAGCAATGTGGGCAACACAGGTAACTGCCACATATGCAAGAAACGATAATCTGGGATGAACATTTTGTCCTGAATATACAGAAAGCAGGGGCTGGCAAAGACACTGAGCTATAAAGCAGAATCCCTGGTTTACATCTAATTTTTCTCATGCTCATACTAGGTAGCCAAATGGAAGTCACTTTCTCTTGCCCCTCTCTATAATATGAGGAAAATATTTGCACCCCCTCCCAGTGCAAATATTGTGAGGAACACAGTGAGAGAATGAATGAAAAGTGCTATGAACTCCCCCCTTGTTGCTGAGCACTGGAGCACAACCAGAACTATGTGGCTGATGGCCAAGACCATTGCAGCATTTGAATGCCCAACTCTATACTCCTCACTGTTTGGGAGACAATGGGATTCCAAGGCCATGCTTCATGGGGTCAGTGTGCATGCCTATTATGTGTAGTAAGAAATCACTGTAAGTGTTAATGCCCGTAATACCCAACACCTCTCCTCTCAAGGGAAGCAAGAGGAAGGACATGCTGCCCTCTGATAATTACTGTTGCAGAGATTGAAGAGGCCTCATATACTATGTATTTTCTATTGTAAACCTGTAATGACACCTGATGCCTCTGCCTATCAAAGAACTGCACACTCCAGGAAGCGAGGATTGCCTGCATCTCCTGACTGTGCAAATAGGTGGTAGCAGATTGCTGTCATGTAATATGTGAAGCAGGCCTAAGACTTGACTCTCTGGAGTGGACAGCAGGCACCTGTCTTCTTTTTTGTAATAAGAGGATGTGTATCTTTCCATTGCCCAGGACTGTGAAACTTGATATCTAAGAATTGGCATGCATACTAAGGAGACCATGGCAATAGCCACTGCAAACCTAGTTTGTTTCTAAACTCTGTTTGTTCGTTTTCATATGTCCATGTCTTTTAAGCCTGTACTAACATCTTCAGCCACTAAGGGCAAGTGTCTAATCAGCTTTGCAGTCCATACAGTTTGAAGCCAGGGAAGATTAGGAGACCAAGGGGCAGGGCTCTACACTTGCTCCCTCCCTCTGCTGTGGAGCTGCTCTCCCTCTTCAGGGGAATAGATTGGATAGAACCCTTCTTCTGAGACTCACGTAGATGGACCTTGACAGGGAGTGGGTTAGGTTTTCCAGATGGGGTGAGCACTTTCTACTAAAGTTCCCTTTTAAGTCACTTGATGGGGAGAAAGATGTTTCTCAATATTCAAAGGAGGCACAGCAGTATTTGTTTCAGCTGTGCTGCTAACAGCAGCAGATTTTGTAAGCTGTTGAAGGAAAGACTACTAGGGAATTGGATGTGTGCTGTTCTAAGTGTGGTATATAAAAGTTTTAAGATGCTTTGCAATGTGTAACAGAGGTGGCTGGTGAAACTTGTTTGTAAAAGTTCCAGCTGGCCTATGGAAATTTCACTTAACTCTTCTTAGTTCCCTCTCTTCAGTTTCTGCTTGGGCTAGCAGTGGCTAACCATAGGCACACAGAAGCTGCCCTACCAAACCAGACTGGCCCAGTATAGTTAGCACTGACTGGCAGAAATGGCTCTTTAGGGCTTCAGTCTTTCCCAGCCACCCCTGGAAATTTTAAGTTTTGAAGCTGGGACCTTTTGCGTGCAAAAGCATGGATGCTGCCATGGATCCTAGTTGTAGTTATGGTTTCCCAACAATATCTTGCTCTATATAACCTTATTAGCTATTGGGAGCCAAGTGATTTAGTTTAGCGTAGGTCTCTAGTCTCTCTTAGAAGTTGTACAAGACTTTTTGATACACCAAGAAATGAGAGGCAAGGAGAAGAAGGTTTGCTTCACCTGGACATGAGGTATAAAATCATCAGGATAGGAAGGCGAACTAAGCCATGGAAAGGGCATGTTCTAATGGTTCTGATATTGCTAATAAGAATTGGGAAATTGATTGAAATATGTGCTCCCCCTCTAGTGTCAATACTATAGTTTTAGCAATAAACACAATATTCCAAACTCTTTGAAATATGAGTGGGAACTCTTCCTCTCCTCAGTTTTCATAGAGAAGGGGCTTGGAAGGGTGCAAAAGGAAAATGTAAGGTAAGAGAAGAACCTTCCCTCCTGCTCCTTCTCTTTTGCAAATTTTCCATCTGTACCAGAGGTGTGTGCTTTCAGGGGCCACATAGCCCCTCTGGATTCAGCTGGCAGCCTCCCTCCCACTTGCAGAAACCAAAAGAAACCAGCCAAGCATTGATACATGGGGAATACATGGCTTAACAGAACTGAAAAAGAAAGACCTCGGAGTTATTGTGGATAACTGACTAAATAGGAGCCAGCAATGTGATGCAGCTGCAAAAGGGGCAAGTGCTATTTTGGGATGCATCAATAGAAGTATTACTTCCAAATCATGAGAAGTAATAGTTCTATCCTCTTTACTAGTTAGACCTCATCTAGAATAATGTGTCTTTTTCTGGACACCAAGATTTGAGAAAGATGCAGAAAAACTAGAAAGGGGCAGAAGAAGGCAACAAAAATGATCCAGGCTTTGGAAACACTGTCCTATGAGAAGAGACTGAGAGAACTGGGCATGTTCAGCCTTGAGAAGAGAAGACTGAGGGGGCACATGATATCCCTCTATAAGTACCTCAAAGGTTGTCACAAAGAGGAAGGTCAAGATCTCCTCTCTCACACCAGGGTGCAGGACACGGAATAATAAACTCAAGTTGTGACAACCCAGATTGAGGCTTCAATTCAGTGGAACCAGTTGCCTAGAAAGGTCATGAGCTCTCCCACACTAGAGACTTTCAAGATGAAACTGGATAGTCATCTGAGTGCGATGGTGCAAATTGATGTCCTGCAACAGCAAGGGGTTGGACCTGATGGACTTCTTGACCCCTTCCAGTTCTACTATTCAAAGATTCTATGCTGCCACACAGCTGAAAAAAGCAAAATCACTTTTTGTTTGAAAAAACTGTATGCAGAGTATGTACCTTGCTTTAAAGCAAAAATGCTGTGTTCTTCACTACTGCATTGCTGAATTCAGTCTCCAATTTCAGAGATATGGGAACCACAGAATTGCTGGGGGTGGGGGGACATGTAGTCTCTGTTACCTGTCCCAGAGTTACACTGTGCAGATCCCCTCTTTGTGCGGCAAGAACTGAGCTGGAAATCTTAATGCTGTAGCAGCATTAAGACTAGGCAGGTGTGCCGTTGATCAATACTTTGATGGAAGGACGACATGGGAAATCTGTGAATTGCATTTATGCATTATTTATGCAATTTCTATATTTGCCCAGTAACCAAAGAACACTCTAATACAGAAGCGTAATGAATGTTTGCTTCTTTTGACCTGCAGATATTTTGCTTGACTTGGACTTGCCACCTGCTGTTTCAAAAGTACCTGCGCCTGCTGTGGTTCCAGCTACCACAGACCTCTGGGGAGACTTTAACACTGCATCTAGGTAGGTAGTCAAGAAAAGGATGTGGGAGACTGTTAGCCTGGGAAGTTGTGAGGAGTGTGCCTGCCAGAGGTGGGTCTCCAGGTAACTAACAAGCAACAACAAGCAAATTAGGTTTTTTTTAAAATAAAGTACTTCACCAAAAATTGCTAAAACAGCATGAAAAGGAACACAACTTCCTGGATTTCAGGATGGCTGAATTAGTTAACTGTCCAGCCTGCCCCGCTTTTCCTTCCTTAAACAGCAGGGATCAGAAATGTAGCTGTCTCCTCTGTTCCCATAACCTTGTCAGGCAGAGGCCTTGTTTCTGCCAGTTGCTGTTCAGTACTAGGATTCCAGAGTGAAGATCTTGATAAAGAGCTGTGAAGTGGTGCATGCTAGAGTGTGCAGGTCCCAGTGTTTCCATGCCCATAGCAGTACCATGAGCTGGGGCCAACGACTGCCGTTCTCTTATTTGCTAACACTCTTCTGCCTTTTTTCACTCCCAGCACTGTTCCCAGCCAGTCTCCCCAGCCACCCAACTGGGTCCAGTTCTGAAGAATCTGAGCTGGTGATATAGGCATGGACCAATTACCAAGGATCCTCAGGCTTCAAGTGGGATGGGAGTGAGCTGATGACCTTGGCTTTTCAGTCAGAACATGATTTCTGGATGATCCTCCTGTTTTTGTTCATGTTTCCATTTGCATTGCATTGACACATTTTCTCTTGTGAAGCAAACCTACAAAAGCTTTGGGGAATGCTTCAGGCCACTAACCTGAAGTAAATTAGAAGTGTGGGAACAAAAAGTTGTGACTGGCTTCCATAAATCTATTCACCTTCATGGTGCCGCTGCAGAGGAAATCTAGACTGATACTGCGTGGAATAGGAGAACACTGAGCAGATGTGGCATTCATTTCGTTTTGCTAGCCAAGTATAGTCCCCTTTCTCTTCTCAAGATCTCCCATAGCAATTACAAGCCAGCACAAGTAGATCTGCACAATATATTTGACACTAGTATTGATATAGCAACCAAGGTGAAAAGCAAAAGCCATTTTTAAAGAACTCATCTTAGAGCTATCCTCTCTATCTAGGACAGGTTGCTTTTTCATAGTATCTTTAGGATGGAACTAATTCAGCCCTTTCTCAAATATTCTTTCTCCCCTTATATCTATGGTAGGGGAGGTTTAGAGTTAGAGTCTGTGCATAAACCTAGGTGTGGTGCAATTCGACTTGCATCGTCTTTATTTTCTATTGAGTGAGCACCAACAAATCTCACTGACTATTCCCCCCTTCCTGGCTCATGTCCCTAGCACTGACTATACTGCAGAACATTTTAAAACTGGAAATGTGTAAAAACAGCAGCAACTACAAGAAACTACTCTCCCTCTTTACAGGGAACAATAGCAAGTCCATCCACACATCAGACAGCAGCAATCCTGGTTCTTCTAGGGATCCTGTATCTAGAAAAGACAGCTCAGCTCTGACCCGAGCTTGGTGTAGCTTCTGCACTGTGGGAATGTCAGCTGATGTGCAAGGCCAAGCATTTCACTGATTACTTATGGCCAATGGAAGGTGCTGTCACCTAACTGGCCAAAGCAGCAGAAATGCATCTGATGCATACTGCCAAAAATGAATGTCAAAGTTTCAAGGAGTTTACATTTGGACTGTCTGGCCAGTGTGATTTAACTTCTTGTATGCTAATAGTATCTCCTCAGCAAATATTAGTGGACCATGAAGCCTTTCCAGACATTGTCTCTTCCTCTTCCACATTCTTTTCTAAGATTTTTATTTTATGGGCACCCAATCCTTTCCTTCCATGAGCTGCTCAGGTTATTGTGCAGACTTACCTTTGTCCTCCCTGCTTGCACTTTAGGGCCAGAAATGGCCAATAAAGTCTGTAGTAGCAAGGCCTCTTCATTTTGGAGCACCAGAGTGGTACAATTAATGTGGGCACTTCTTGCGATACAGTCTCAGATGGAGGCCTGTACATGTGCACACAGATGGTATCTTCTGCAGTCACATGGTTTTGTGCTCTTAGATGTGTATGATTGAATGAGGGCACATCTTCCTGATGTTTATCCCTTGCTCATGGCCCTGACAGCTCTCAAATCCAACAGATTACTTAAATCCTAGAGCAGCAGTGGGGAACCTGGTCCATTAATAACCAGAAAGGAAATACCTTTAAACACTTCTGCAATGTTATATGCACATCTCACTTATGGAAAAGGGGAGCTGGTGTCTGCTTTCTAAGGCTGTACATACGTTAAATGCCCAGTTATTCATCACTTCTCCCACTGCCATCTTATTTTTATACTTACCTGTTTCTACAACTACATTATCTCTCCATCTGCTTTATTTCACTACTGGTTGGTTGTAAACACTTCCCGTCTTCTTTAAGCTCTTTCCTTGTGGTATAAGCCAGCCCAAGAATCCTAGAACCTGGCTGAATATTCCATATCAGTGACAGGTCCTGTCATTTCAATAATTCTGTGTCCAGACATGAAGAGACTTATCAGGAACTTCTCCCTGTTGTGATTCTGTTTCTGTCTGTTTGTTTTTTAAAATAGTATTATCAAGATAATATATAATGTATTGGCACAAACTGAAGTAAAACTTCGTGTGCATGTATATAAAGCATAAGATGCACTGGTTCAATAATAGCAAATAAATTCAAGAATAAAATTGGACAAAGCATGTATTTCTGCTGTGCATGCCTGGCATGTTTCTATCCCATTCTAAAGAGTCTGGTGGCTTCTGTGCTGTCAGGACCTCCTCATGCTGCAGTCAGGGTGATGCTAGGATGCCTCCTGATTCACATTTAGTGTGTCGTGCACAGGGACAGGGACAGGGCCACAGAACATACACAAACAGTTGTTCCCGATAGTTTTGTTGGGAAAGCAAGCTCTGGCAGCGAGGACAAAATGCTTGCGGAGCCTCAACAAGCTCCAGTATCAGGTCAAGGTGAGGGAATGACTGGGGAGCAGGGAAGGAGGTTGTTAGTCCAGGATGCCAAGGGTGATGGCCAACTGGCCCATGAGAATGAAGAGATAGCTGCATGGGAGGGGCCACTGACAGGAGACCCAGTCTATACCAGTAGCAGACCTGCAGGAGGAGATGGGGCTGGATGGGTCTCACAGTAGGAGTTGAGCAGCTGGTCTGACACAGCGATCCCTCCTCTTGAGGAGGTGACACCTTGCTAGGAGGCAGCATTGGCTGGAAATTCAGTTAACAGTGAAGTAAGAAGATCACAAAAGGAGTAGGTTTCTGAGTGCTCTGCCTGTGGGGATGTGCAGGTGGTGCGCTTATAAAGAAGAGGAAGACTAAGGGAGCTTAGAAAGGACTCCAGATTTCACTCTGGATGACCTCAGAAATATGTGACAATACAGACTTGTGGAAAAGGTACTCTGGAGTCCTGTGTTTACTCAGGAGGAGAGCTATGCCTCCCAACATAGTGCTGGTCTCAGCTTCACTTCTTTAAAAATGTGCCTCTGTATTAGCCATCCGGGGGAAGGTGAAGGCAGTCCAGAGCCACATGATTAGTGTACTGAAAACTCATGGATTCTGCTGTGAAGGATACATTCCTCATATCCTACCTTTTTTAAAAAAATCTGAAAAAATAGCTAGGAGTGGGCTACTTGGCATGGACACTTGTCTAGTTGGATACAGTTTACAGGCAACTTTGTAGCCCATTGCTAGCTTTTTTACAAAGTGCATGCAAAGTACTTTTTTTCTTCTTGCAGCAGAACTCTCTGGGGTTTGGGGAACGCTTATGTGGCTCTGAGGTGCCCTCACTTTACCAAGAGGCACAAGGGTCCTCCTCATATCCTACCCAAGCACCTGTACAAAAGAGTGTTTTGGACAACATCACTTCAGTTCTCTCTGTCTTCCAAGCAAAATTGCTGCATGGAGTTTCCCAAATTTTTACACAAACACACACTGCTAGCAGTGGAGAAGCAGTGTCAACACTTTTTTGGGTGGGGAGAATCTCAGGGCAGCAGACCTCTTCATTGAAACTTGGGATCATGCTGCAAAATCAGGTAACCACCTGATCATACTTGGAAAGGTTGTCTTCCTTGCAAAGGGGAATGGGATACTTGAAAAATTGCAGAGACGGTGTCAGGAAGGCTGGTGAATGAACTGGGGCTAGGAATGATCTAAGGCTAGTGAGGGATGGTAAAAGCAACAAAAAAGGCTTCTTCAGATATGTCTAAAGTAAAAGTGAAAAAACATGGGAGTTCAACTACTCAGTGCTGATGGCAAAATGATAACAAATGACAAGTGCTCAATTCCTGCTTTGATTCAGTCCTTTCCCAAAAGAAGATCTTTGGCCTTCCTGATGAAGGGGAAGTACAAGCTGAAGGAGCAGGATGACAGCTCAAGATTGATAGCCAACTGGTGAAGGATTATCTAACTGGGCTGAATTTCAAATCTCCAGTGTCTGATGAACTCCATGCTAGAATCATAAAGGAGCTGGTGAGAGAACTCTCAGAACCACTGTTGATTGAGAAATAATGGATGGTGGGTAGTGCCAGATAACTGGAGAAGGTCTAACGTTGTCCCCATCGTCAAGGAAGGTAAAAAAGAAGAACCTGGAAACTACAGATCAGTTGGTCTGATATCCCTTGGAAAATTCTGGAGCAGATTGTAAAGCAATCAGTCTGCAAACACCTTGAAAACAATGCAGGGTTTACTAGAAGCTAAGATGAATTTGTCAAGAACAAATCCTGCCAGATTAATCTGACTTCATTTTTGATTGGGTAACTTCCCTGTGGGAATGCTGTGGACATAGTATATTTTGACTTCAGCAAAGTTTTTGATAAAGTACCTCATGATAGCCTGACTAGCAAAATAGCTAAAAGTGAGTTTGGTGGAATAACTGTCAGATGGATCCACAGTTGGCTACAAAATTGGACTCAAAGAGTGCTCATCAATGGCACCTTCTCAAACTGGGGAGAGGTAACAAGTAGGGTACCACAGGGTTCAGTCCTGAGCCTAGTACTCCTTGGCATTTTTATTAAAGATTTGGATTAAGAAGTGCAGGGAGCAATTGTCAAATCTGCTGATGACACAAACTGGGTAGGATAGCTAATACCCTGGAGCACAGAAAGAAGATTCAAGGTGATCTTGATAGGTTGGAGCACTGGGCTGAAAACAATGAAATTCAATCAGAAAAATGCCAAGTTCTGCACCTAGGAAAAGAAACCAAATGCATCATTACAAAATAGGGAATACTTAGCTTAACAGTACTGCAAGTGAGAAGGATCTTGGAATTGTCGTAGATCACAAGTTGAATATGAGTCAGCAATGTGGTATAGCTGCATTAATAGAAGTATCCCTTCCAAATCCTGTGAAGTACTTTTTTGTCTTTACTGAGCACCGGGTAGGCCTTCTCTGGAGCGCTGGGTCCATTTCTGGGGACCACACTTAAAGAAGATGCAGACAGGCTGGAAAGGGATCAGAGGGGGCAACAGGGATGATGCCTGCACTGGAAGCAAAGCCCTATGAGGAGGGATTGAAAGAAATGGGCAATTCAGCCTCACGAAAAGTGAAAGGAGATATGATAGCACTCTTGAAGGGCTGTCACAAAGAGGAGGGACAGGATCATCCCAAAGTGCAGGACATGAAGTAACCTTGTATATGTAATGCAAATACCCCAGGAACCTGTGTACTGGCCATTAACCCACTGCCCACAGGTGCCTGCTTGCTGCTCAAGGATGAGGCGGGACTTCCAGGTTTGCTAGCTGGGGTCGTTCTTAACTCAGGTATTCATAACTGGAGACTGGGTGTAATTTGGGGTGGTTGACTGGGTGTAATCTGGTGGGCAAGTATGATACAGTTGCTCTGCTTAGATACCATAGCAGGAAAAGTTATGAAAGGAAAATAAGCTGGAAAGTAATAAACTGCATCACCATGGCAGTTTACAACTTGCCAAGATGCCTAGCCAATGTGTGTACTACAACATTCTTGTGCTGGATCATATTTCTGTGACCCCAAGTGGCCAAATTATGCCATAGCTAATATGAAAGAGCAATTGGGCTACCAGGAGTTGGGAGGGGAGGGAAGAGATCTTTGGGGGACAGCCATATTGCTTTCCTCTCAATTAGTACACACCCCTCTTAAAACAACAGCAATAACCAGAAAGGGCTGCTTGGATCCAAGGGGCTGTGAACTGTCTCCACAGGCCTTTCAGAAGCACACATTGCTGGGCATTGGTATATGATGTGGAAGATCGGTAATTTTGGAGTACATGAATGCTACTTCTTGACTGTATGGACAAGAAGCTTGGTCAGAACTGATTAATCACTTGTGGTGTCTTCCTGGCAAGGAGGGGGTGTCTGTCAGGGTGTAGAAAGTTGTAAATGCTACCTTCTTAAAAAGAAACCTAATCCCACCCGTCCAGAAAAAGCCTAGCGTAGATTCAGATGGCATTGGGTGCTTCCAGAGAAGGCTGTAACTGTGCCATCACCCTGCCTCACTCATGTAACTGCACATAGCATCCTGATATTGTCATCTTCATCTTCTGCCATGTTTCACCGTAGTTTCTGTCTGTCTCCTTACTGAAAAAAGATGGCATTGCTGTGCCATTGTTAACACTACGAAAACCTTCACCCATTCACATCTATAGAGCAGTGGCTAGTGCTTGCTTCCTGAGCAAAGTGATTGAGAGAGTAGTGGGTGGGCAACTCCTCAGAGGTAGCTTGAAGTACAGTTTGTGACTACCAGCCAGATGGTCTTCTCAGTAGTGGCTCCCTAGTTATGGAACAGCCTTTGCAGATATATTTGCTGTGCACCAGCCTTGCAGTCTTCTCAGCACCAAGTGTGTTGCAAATCTTACACACGAAATAGGGCATACTAGCTTGCCAGGTAACTTACAGAAAGAAATTACTAATTGGGTGGGTTCAAATGTAACAACAAGCCATGCCCCTGTGGTTTCATGACGTCTTGTTACATCTGAACCCAGCATTCATGGTGAAGCATGGCACATTTAGTCTCTGTGGAACCACACAAAGAAACAATGCCTTGTGGTGAGGGTTCCATGCTTCAGCATGGCTCGTTTCCCTGTCAGAGCCCACTTGCTTTGTTTCCGACCCTGAGCTTTGTGGCAAAAGCAACCACAGCTGCAGCAGATGCTCGGGGCTGCATTTTCCACTATCCCAATTTGCCTGGTAACTGCTGTGTTGGAGCGTGCCATGCTCTGACAGGTGTTCCATGCTCCATTTTTTCTCTGTCCAGCACTGCCTTCCCAACGCCCGGCTTCAGCTTTGGACTCTCCAGCAGCAACAACCATGGAGACAGCACGCTCAGTGCCCCAGGCTGGCTGCTGCACTTTACTGGAGCGTGTGCTTGCGCTACTCCGGGAGCCAGCAGCCTTTTCTTGTGGAGGCTGATTTACACATGAGGAGCACAGAGGCTGTGCATGGGCCTTGCATCAGGGCACTCACTCTGAGAAGCCCACATCTCCCACTCTGTATCCTGCCCTCTCCTCTACTCCCGTCTTGTCCCTGACAATCCCCAGGGCTTGCAATAAGCCCCACTCTCCCCTATCCCCCTGCCATAGGTGTGGGACAAGATGGGCAGCATCAGGAGAGTCTGCTTAGCAGAACACATTCCCTCTGTCCCTGGCACAGTTGCCCGCAGGGATGCCCTCTGAGTGCCTGGCTGTGAGAGGAGGCAGCCTCTGGCAACACGTGCAAAGCT